GATATTTGCAAATATCAGAATAATCTAAAATATAGAAATATTGTTAGTGAAAATGCTACTCATTAAGAGTAAACAAATATGTTTTCATTTTCTTACAATTCTTTATAATTTTTTTGTAGATCAAGTGTTAATATAAATATAAAGTACTAGTTTATGCAATTGTGCTACAAAAAATTATCAAGTACTGCTTTATTAGATAATGTGTTTTATTGTAACTTTTGAGATATGCATCACAGTTTTATGTTTATGTTATAAGGATGGGAGATTTTTAAAACAATTATGAATATGTTGGAATATTAGCAAAATTTATTACAAATGAAAGAAATCACATATAGTATTATGTAATAAATTTATAATTTTAAAATCATAAAGAAATTTGCGAAATTGTAAAATAATTATAATTCTCCACAATATTTAATAATAATTGAAATGATCATATAAAACAATATAACAACTTCTTATATGTATTAACTAAGCAGAAGCTGAGTAATTCTAGATTCTCAAGAAGCTAAGTATTCACATGTATGAATTGTTAAACACTTTATGGAAATAAAGGAATTTAGCTTCCCTTAAATGTTGATGTATACATCTATTTGAAATATCATAAACATGAAAAAGTAAAACATTTTATCTATTCTAGAACAGAAATAATATGTTTAGTGTTATGTTGACTTGCACTATTTGTCAAAAGTAATATATCTTTAGTAAAAATATTTTACTATTTGATATTAAAATAAAATATTCATTGGTAGTAAGATACAGTACACAATAGTTTTATAAAATCAAATATATGAACATAGTTTTGTGGAACTATTATTTTGTAATTTTTTATCACATTTTTAAAATTGCATAAAGAATGTTGATTCTTTTCATAGTACTTAATATGTTAGTTTTCCCTAAAGTAAAACAATTGTTTTACAATTACAAACATAAAAATCTCATAAAGCTTCTTATTACCAATGATATTTCCATATCATAATTTTAGAATATATTAATTATCTGTAATATCAGTACATAATTATAGCAATACTAGAAATAAATTTATATTACTCTATGATAATAATACTTTATAAAAATCAAAATTGCGATAATAGTGAATACATCATGTTTGTACATAATGTCAAGTAATCAGGACACAAATTTAACATAGAAAAATACTTCCATCTATAGCTTAATAAAGTCAATTGCATAATGAAATATTCACTTTTTTTGCATTTGAATCTGCAAATTTGAAAAATGCAATTGTATGAATTAATAATTCTTATATGTATAGCTCCAAGGCATGAGACCACACATTGTAATATAAATATTACTTTAAATACAATGTGTTCTTTATATACAAATAACATAAGTTAGTATTCCTATTTCTGTGTTACATAATGTTTACGATTATTTAAAATAAGTTATTCCTTGTTATATTTTTACAACATAATGAAATGCTAATTTACCATCATTTAGTATCAATTACATTCTTAAGTACGTATAAGCGCAAAGCATTTTCTTTTTTGTTATTGTTGTTTCTTTTCTTTCTTCATTTATTTGATCAATGTTTCTAATACCAGAATTATTATTATTAGAATCATTGATTTGTTAGAAAGTGTATTTGATAATTGAATCAGGTCAAATTTAATTTTCCCCAGTTTTCTAAAATGTAAACATTAAAATTATACTTAAAGAGCAAATAAAGATTTATCTTGATCCTTGTTGATTTGGCGTTGAATATTAGAGTTTTCAGGATTTGTAGTACTTCCAGTAGTAGCAGTAGTTGTAGGTAGAGATGGTAAAGCTTCAGCTACTGCTGCTCGTTCTGCTAAGAAACGATCAAATTCCGATGATGTTAGAGATCCTTGATCACCATATGCTCCTGGCTGAAAGAAAACTTCTTTTACTGATTATTAAACATAATTTATTAAATTAAATACAATTTAAATATTTTTGTGAAAATTGCAAAAATTTTAAACGATTGTACTTTTAATCTCGCTGTTACGTAGAACTCACCGTATGATCTAACCAGGCCGCCATTTCATTAAATTCAGATTCCCGGTTAAGCTGAATATTAAAAAAAAGTACAAAAAACAAAAATAAACATATCCAACCAAATATTAAGTATATAAGTATATGCATATATATAGGCAAAAATAAAGCATAAGGAAACGTAAGAAAAAATTAAATACTCCATGCTCTAGAAAGCTATGCAGTGAAGGAAAGGAAATTAATTAGATCTATTAAATTAATAAGAATATAATATTTCAATATCATAAACTTTAGTAAATGTAATATTCTTACCTTTACAAGGGTAGACAATTTTAAGCTCATTGTATTAAATTCATAACTAAATTGATTGTAAAAATATAATATTGCAACAATGAAGTGTAATAAAGTTTGCAAGAATTATATTGGTATTTGTAATAATCTTACTTTTTCAGTAAATAAGTAACTAATACTTATATCATTTGTGGCATCAACTAAGTGCTTTGCAATAATTAGTATAGTAAGGGCAGGGGTTACGCACAGAAGTAGCAGTAGTAGAAGCAACTGTAGAAGCAGTCTGCTGGGGATATTTAGGATTATTGCGGTTGAGAATCGCTGTACTGAGACTCCCTCCGCTCACCTGCTCCAAATTATCCTCGTATTTGCTGCCACTGCAATAAAAATGAATATTTTACAATATATAGTCATATAAAAAATGAAAGTTAATTTTCATATTAGAAACCTGTTCTTTGTAGCTTCATAAGATGTATTGCGTGATTGTGCAAACATATCAAATTCATCACTATCACCTTCTTTCTTCTCCTTTCGATCTGTCCTGCTTTTGTCTGTACTGTCAGATATGCCTATAATTCAATATAACAAAATTGCATTATATTGTTAATTTATCAAAAATATAATACTTACCAATTTCTGTAATTTTTTTCTCCAAAGTATCAGTTTCATCAGATAAATCAATAAGAGAATCAGGTTCTTGTTTATTAATTGATAAAGCAGAGTCCAGATTTGGTGGATGACCAATTGTTTGTGCCAAAATAGTACTTGCAGCTACAGCTTTATTTTTTGTATAACGTGAATAGCGCAAAAACAAATTATTTAATTCATCATTAATACGCAACAATTCTGCTGTCATCTCATCATGTGCCAATTTTCCAATTAAATCAACAACCCGTTCTTGCATTGCTTTGCATGTAGAATGAAGTTCCTACAAATATAAAATTATTAAGAAAATATTAAATGTTTCAAAGGATCTCATATACCAAGATTATTTCAATTTCATGTAGAACATTACATTACTTAACAAATTGAATATTTATTTTGTTAAAGGTATTCCTTGTTAATATGCATATAAAATAAATAATTATATTCGTACAGTTAAAAGTTCAAGGTCTGCAGGATCAGGTTGTTGACTACTATTTTGATCTGAACTTGTAAAATATGCCAACATTTCTGATAAAACACACATGTTCCCTTGTACAACATCAAGTTCACTTTGTAATTTAGCCATCTGTTGTTCGTTTAACTGAGTTACTTGCCCAGAAGATTGAGTCTGAGGTTGTTGGACTTGTGTAGTTGCAGGAGCTATCGATTGTTGTTCAACTATAGGGACATTCACAACATTTTGTTCTGATTCAGGTACACTCTAGAATTTCATTAATAACCATAAAAATATGAAAAGTATTGTATCTTATTAGTCATGAGTTGCATTGGAAAAATCTTACTCGTTCTGGAGTAATAATGGGAGCCATAGCATCCAAATCAGTCATTGGAAATTGTATGCCTTTTACTTTTAGTTCTTGATATATTTGAACAACACCTTGAGTATGTGGCTGATGGCGGAATGTATCTGCCAATGTTTGAATTAAACTTAAGACTTTTTCTTGAACTGCTGTTGGTGGTTCATTTTTTGGTCTAATTAATTTGACCAATTCTTGCACAAACTCTCGTGAACAAGCAAGAGCATGAAAACGTTTTCCACAATTTTTTACACATGTCTCCAATACCTAGATCATTAACACATATGAATTTTAATAATTATGAATATCTACTATGTTTTAATAAATTGTAATAAAAACAAATTTGATTAATCTAGTCACTTAAATTGGCTATGATTAAAACCTATATCAAACAATTGTAAGAAGTAAATTACTTTGGAAAATGAAATAAATTAATTGTATAAAGTAATCTTAACAAAATGTATATATCTTGTTTAAAATATAAATACTACCAAATATTTAAGTACTAACAGTAAGGGTATACATGACTACAGTATAATTTTTTCCAGCAGCCTGATTGAGCCTACGCTTAATTGCTTTAATTGCGTCTCTTGGCCCATCCTCTGTTTCATTTATAATATCACATATTTCCATATTAAGTGACCAATTTTCACTTGGCAAACTACCATCTGTAGCTTGCTCTGGAATATACAGATAAAAGAGTATATAAAGAATATATAAAGAAAGAATATTTTGTTAAGCACAATTTTCTTTTAATGAAAGTTATAAACTAAGTAAAGATTCATGACATAAATGTCTGAAGACATATATACATGAAAAGAAATCTATAAGTATTTCAATGTTTATTTCTTTGACATGCAAACAATTGTTTATATCAAAGAAAGTTATTAACTGATTATTAATATACTATTGAACTAATTGGCATGGTATTTTTCGTAAAGGTAAATAATAAACTTACCTATTTTCTGACCTACAGGTGTTGAGAATGGATTGACATTTACTCCAAAAAATGACATCCTTGCACGATGTATGAAACTGTTTCTATATTTAATAATATTACTTTGACTCACTTGTGCATATATAAGGCACGCAATAAGTTTTGACAGGAACGATATTTGATAATAAATTATAAATTTCTTACTCTGAATGACAGTATTATATGACCCATACGACGAGAAAGGTAGACGTCAAATACAAAGTGTCATGAAACTCTAACCAATCAGATTCAGTACTTCATGAATTGTACTCTGATTGGTTCTAAATTCGTTCTAGCAAACGCATTATCTCATAAATAAACAATATTTATAATTTTAAACAAGTTTATTAATAAATTCCTTACATTCAAAAGAAATAGATATTTATGTATTCCATGTATACAAGATGATTATTAAAATTTTATTATTTGAATTATTTCTATCTATTTAAATCAATTCTTTTTCAGAATTTAAAGGTGATTGAATGAATAACTACAATAGAATTATTTTATATAAAAGCTTGTTAATAATTTTCACGTTCGAAACGTCACAAGTGATGGTTATAATTTAATTTTATAATAATAGGTCGACCATGCAAATCTGAAGGTTCTAATGCGCATGCCCACGCAAATGAGCGGAAAACAGGCGGAAACGCCATCCCTACTATTCTACGACCCTAGACTGTCCATTTGAGGGGAAGTTTTGGCGTAGATATTTAAATATATGTAAGTGGTTTTCAACGAGCCGTCGGTAATGTCGTGCGCTGATAAAAGAACAGGAAAGTGAAGAGATTATCTGCTCGTCTTGTCTTCCTACCTATGTGGACCACAAGACAAATATTTAATAGTACCTAGGACATTAATTTCCAAATAATTTACATACAATAAGCTGTTATTGTAAAGGAAACTTAAAGAAATGTATTAATATTTTTTAAAATTTAGGAAAGTGGAAATTGAAAATCGTTTTGTTATTCATGAATAATACAAATAGTTTTCTACGTTTTAAAAAATTGCTTATGGTGTTCAAAAATTTCTGAATGAAACGAAAAATAACATGCTACTACAGATCGACAGCCACCGTTTCTGCAACTTAAAAATCGGTATGTGGGCCACATGTTATGGCTCATCTGTTACCGACTGCTCACCCAAGGTTCAATCATCGCCTATTGTTGTTTGAGAAGAGTAGTGTGATAGCCTTACTATTGGCTAATTAACAGCGAAAACCACAAATTCCCCTCCACCTCCCACTTCCTTACTCTAACTCCTCCCTAAACCTTCAGCTTTGGTTGGTAGACCTGTAATACTGATAATAAGCTTCGGAATTTGAACATAGGACATATAGTTTGTAGATGTACCACTCTTAATCAAGATTTAAATCTTCCTGATTAAACAGTAGAGAGCGCTGTAATAGAGGAATTTGCGAATTCTCGTTGCGCGGCAACTAAATCAAAACTATGTAAATGAAATACTACTTTGGATCTAAAATAATACAAACTGATATATTTATTAACATAGTTTGTGCGATTTGTACAGAATATTTGAAAATGATGGTGCAGGAAGACGTTCCTACTATACTACAAGAGTTTGTACAAGCTCGAGTAATAAATCAAAATATGCTTATAAATTTGATAATTGAACAAGGACCAAAAGGAGTGGCTGGTAAACTGTTTTATGAAGATGGTATTAAATTGGATGAAAACAAAGAAATTCGAATTGAATTTCTCAGTATGTACTATATATAATTGTAAAATTGTATTTATCTTATTACATAGGCTTGACTTCATTACTTTTTTTTTTAGATATTTTAAAAATTGATCATCTCTGGGTAATGCCAAATCTTGTCAAATTAAAATTATCTAATAATATTATCGAAAAAATAGAGAATCTAGATGTTCTTGTTAATTTAAAGGAATTAGATCTTTCTTTTAATCACATAAGAATAATGGAAAATTTAAATAATTTAACAAAATTGGAAATATTACTTCTATTTAATAATGAAATTAATGAAATAGAAGACATAGATAATTTATACAATCTTACAATTTTTAGTATTGGTAATAATGCTATAGTGGATTGGAAACATGTATGTAATATATATGATAC